GTTATAATGGCCCCGTCGCTCCTGCCGAGGCCATCTCGCGCCCTTGGGGAGAAGAGGGGGGGGAGGGGGGCGGGGCTCGAGGCACGGGAATCGTCTCACTTGGACTCTTTTGGTCTTCGCTCCCTCCTTTCTCCGTTCACTCCTTGCTTCTCTCTTTCTTCCTTCGTTCATTCCTTGCTTCTTTCTCTCCCTCCTTGAATCGCTCAACCCTCGCTTCTTTCTCTCTTACCTATCTTCGTTCATCCCTTGTTCACCTTCCTTTATTTCTTTATCATTTCCTTGTTTTTTTCTCCTTCCTTCCTTCCTTCGTCCATTCCTTGCTTCTTCCTCTCCCTCCTTCCTTCCTTCATTTATTTTCCACTTCCTTGCTGCTTCCTCTCCTCCCTTCTTCAATTCCTTCCTTCCTTCCTCCATTTCTCCCTTACCCATTTCCTTCCTCTTCTTTCATCTTTCCTCGCTCACTTCCTTCCGTCTTCCCTTGCTCCTCACTCCTATCAACATTCCTTCTTTATTCTATTTCTTCCTCTTCCACTTACATGCAGCGCCGTGGTGCCCCAAGATGATGCTTTTCTTATATACAAAAAATATGCGCTTATTGGATTTATGTATAATCATACATAGCTATAAATGTGATTAGAGATAGGAAGAGAATCGATAAAAGAGAAGCAAAATGAGAGAAGAGAGAAAGAAGAAGAGAAGAAGAAGAGAGAGAGAGAGAGAGAGAGAGAGAGAGAGAGAGAGAGAGAGAGAGAGAGAGAGAGAGAGAGAGAGAGAGAGAGAGAGAGAGAGAGAGAGAGAGAGAGAGAGAGAGAGAGAGAGAGAGGAGAGAGAAGAGAGAAGAGAGAGAGAGAGAGAGAGAATAATAATAAAAGAGAGGAGGGAGAGCACAGAAGGAAAACAACATCCGCACAACCCTAGACCTAGACCCCAAGCCTTCGTAGTGGAGACGGACCCCTAGCGAAGGACCCCTGATGAAAGACCCCTGGCGAAGGACCCCTGAACGAAGGACCCCTGGCGAAGGAAAGACCCCTGGCGAAGGACCCCTGATGAAAGACCCCTGGCGAAGGACCCTGGCGAAGGACCCCTGGCGAAGGAACCCCTGGCGAAGGACCCTGACGAAAGACCTGACGAAGGACCCCTGGCGAAGGACCTGACGAAGGACCTGGCGAAGGCCTGACGAAAGACCCTGGCGAAGGACCCCTGACGAAGGACCCCTGGCGAAGGACCCCAAGAGAAAGAGGGGTTAGGGTTCCGAGCAAAGGATCGGGGAAGAATACAGAGCGGAGACCCCCCTCTTCCCCCTCACCCCCTTCCTCCCCCTCCACAAGAAACTCGACGATCACCCGAGGCCTCGACTTTCCCCTCGCCCTCGCATTTACACCTGAGTCAGCCAACGTCCTTTCCTCCTCCCCTTCCCTCCCTTTCCCCTTCCTCTTCCTCCCTCTCTTCTCTCTGTTTCCCCCCATCTCCTCGCCTTCTCTCTCTCCCTTCTCTCTCCCTTTCGCCCTCCCTCTCCCCTTTCCCCTTCTCTCGCTCTCTCCTTCCTCCCTCCTTCCCCTTTCCCCCTACTCTCCCTTCCTCCATCTTCCCCTTCTATTTCTCCCTTCTTCCCTTTCCCCCTGCTCCCCTTCCCTCATTCCCTCCCTCCTTCCCTTTCCTTTTCTATCTCTCCCTCAATCCCTTCATCCCTCTTCCCCTTCTATCTCACCCTCCCCACTCTTCTCCCTCTCACCTTCCTCCCTCCTTCCCTCCCCCTCCCCCTCCTCTCCCCCTCTCCCCTCCCTCCCTTCCTCCCCCCCCCCCCAGTGCCAACACGATGCCGCGCGTGTCATTGTCCTCACCTGCCACGGCAAGCTCGCCTTTGTGCCTGCGAGAATAGAATTTCCAAACTTTACTTATTCCATGATAAAATGTATTCTTTGTACGGAGCATCGGCCGTTCAAATAATGCGGATAACTGATACAACCGTAGATCGAAAAGGAAGTTTGTTTACTCTTATCTCTATAATTATCTTCCCATATAGACGCCTAATCACCATCATCATCAGTAATCATCATTATATCGTCATTATAATCATCGCCTATCAATCATGACCGCAATCAAGAAATACCTTTATCCACTAGCAGTCACATCACAAAATGACAATAATATAACAAAATTTATTTAAAAAAACAACAACTAAAAAAGACGACAATGCAATGCTGTTATCTCTACACAGAAAACACTGAAGACACTGAGCGTTCTCACTCATCAGGAAGGACGGCTCTTGAGAGGCTACTACGACCCCCTCCTTCTCCCTCCCCTCTCTTTACCCCCCTTCCTTCCTATCACTCCCCCCGCTTCCTCCTAGCTCCCTGCCCCTCCTCCACCATCTCCTCCTCCTCCTCTCCTCCTACTTCCTTCCCCTCCTCCTCCTCCTTCCTGTCCCTCCTCTCTCCTCCTCCTCCTTCCCTCCTCCTCCTCCTTCCCCTCTCCTCTTCCTCCCTCTGCATCCAACTACCTCTGCCCTCTCCTTTCCCCTCCACTTCCTTCCTACACACCAGCACCGCCATCTCCCTCCTACCCCTATCCCCTCCCCTCCCCCCTTCCTTGCGTTCCTCTCCCCGATAGAAGAGAACTAGAGAGAGAGAGAGAGAGAGAGAGAGAGAGAGAGAGAGAGAGAGAGAGAGAGAGAGAGAGAGAAGAGAGAGAGAGAGAGAGAGAGAGAGAGAAAGAAAGAAAGAGAGAGAGAGAGAGAGAGAGAGAGAGAGAGAGAGAGAGAGAGAGAGAGAGAGAGAGAGAGAGGAGAGAGAGAGAGAGAGAGAGAGAGAGAGAGAGAGAGACAGCAGGATGATTTGTACTATGCTAATTATCTCTTTTTTCTTGTTCTTTTCTTTTTCTTGATTGACTGGAGGAGTAGGAGGAGGAGGAAGAGGAAGGGGAAGAGGAGGAGGAGGAGGAGGAGGAGGGAGGAGGAGGAAGGAGAAGAGGAGAGGAGGAGGATGGGGGGGGTGACTGTAACATGAACCGTTTCGCAAACCACAAACAATCAAACATTAACACTAACAACCCAACAGCAAACAGCAATAACAACAAGAAAATAAACAACCAACTCAAGGAGACAGAAAAAAAACCCGCAAAAGTCCAAAAAACAAAACTCCAACGATAACACCCCCCTTTCCCCCGAAAAAAAAGTTTCATCTCCAGAAACCGAATCGGCCGCCTCGATGAGAAGAAAATAATACAATTTAAAAAAAATCCGAAGCACAAACAAGACAAACAAGACAAAAAAAAAAAAAGGAAAACCAAAATCCATTCCAAAGCACACACACAATCGGGGGGGGGGGGGGGAAACAACGCGCATACGTCCTCGCTCGCTAACAAGGTGCCACGCCGAGCAGAGCGCGAGAGAGAGAGAGGGTCGCGCCGCGTCGACCATCCGCATTTGGCACTCGGCGCTGCGAGGTGTCAAGTGTCATACTCGGGATGCGGGCTCGAGTGGCTCTTGGACCTGGAGTGCCAGCTTGTTCTACTTTCCTCTCGGCACGAATGCAAGAAACGCACGTGTGGGGGAAGCGCTGCCCGGGAGGCGCTTGAGGGGGCCGAGTGGCTTCGCGGGGGGGGAGGGGAGGGGGAGGAGGAGGAGGAGGGAGGAGGAGGAGGAGGAGGAGAGGAGGAGGAGGAGAGGAGGAGGAGGGGAGGGGAGGGGAAGGGGGGAGATGAGGGTTAGTGGAGAGGGGGGGGAAGGGACGGGGGGGATGATGGGGAGAGGGGAAGATGGTGGGGTGGAGAAAGAGAGGAGAAGAGGGGAGAGAGAGAGAGAGAGAGAGAGAGAGAGAGGGAGAGGGAGAGGAGGGGAGGGAGGGAGAGGGAGAGAGGAGAGAGAGAGAGAGGAGAGAGAGAGAGAGAGAGAGAGAGAGAGAGAGAGAGAGAGAGAGAGAGAGAGAGAGAGAGAGAGAGAGAGAGAGAGAGAGAGAGAGAGAGAGAGAGAGAGAGAGAGAGAGACAGAGAGAGAGAGAAAGAGTGAAAGAGAAAAAGAGAAGAGCGAGAGAAAGGAAAGAGAAAAGAGAAGAGCGATAGAAAGTGAAAGAGAAAAGAGGAAGAGCGAGAGAAAGTGAAAGAGAAAAGAGAGAAAGAGCGTGAGAGAGAAAGAAAGAGAGGGGGAGGAGGGAGGGGGGAGGGGGAGGGGAGACAGGCGGAGCAAAGAGAGCAGAGGAAGTGCTTGGAGTACGGAGAGCCCGAGAAGAGAATCGGGAAGGGAAGTCAAGGCATGATGAAGGGGAAGTAACGCGGAAGAAGGAGGAGGAGGAGAAGAGGAGCGTGGGAGGGGAGGGAGGGGGGAGGGGAAGAGAGAGGCGGGGAGAGGAGAGAGGAGAGGGAGAGGGGAGAAGGAGGGAAAGAGAAGTGGGAGAGGAGGGGAGAGGGGAGAGGGAGGGAGGGAGGGGAAGGGAGGAGGGAGTGGAGCGGGAGGGAGGGGAAGGGGGAAGAGGGAGGAGGGAGGGGAAGGGAAGAGGGGGGGCGGGAGAGGGAGGGAGGGAGGGGAGGGAGGGAGGGAGGAGGGAGGAGGGAGGAGGGAGGGAAGGGAGAGGAGGAGAGGGGAGGGAGAAGGGGGAGGGAGGAGAGAGTGGGAAGGGGAGGGCGGGGAGAGGGGGAGGGAGGGAAGGGGAAGAGGGAGATGGAGTGGGAAGAGAGGAGCGGGAGAAGGAGGAGAGGGGAAAGGAAGGGCAGGAGCAAAGCAGAGGAAGGGGAAAAGGAATTAGAGAAGTAGGGGAAGGGAAGGCGGACGAAGAGGAGCGGGGAAGGAGAAGGAGAACAGCTGGGGAGGAGGAGGGGGAGAGGAAAGGACAGGAAAGGGGAGGGGGGGGGAGCGTTCCTAAGAGGCCTGAGTTAGGAAGTTGCAAAGAAATTGCAGGATGAGGCGATGGCGGTGCAAGGTACGAAAGGGTTGGGGGAGAAATGCAGGTGCTGACAATAAAATTCAATTTTCATCCACACACATTTAATTCATTCAAATAACTTTC